TTTCAGGCTGTCAGGCTTGGATCAAATCAACTGCCTATTTTAAGATGCCATGCTGGGGGTTAGGGCTCATTACTACTATTTAAAGTGCCTACATGGTCTATCGGTCACACAGCTGGTTCACCAGGTGTTGGACGTACTGGGAAGAGGAATGTAGTAGTATTGACAAATATAATAGAAGGGAACCCCTGGTGGATAACAGTTTTGATGGCAACCTATCTAATGGCTTAATGGGTATGGTGCAGTTGAATCGAAATGGTCGCTTCGCGACGGGAGCAACGTCGCGCGCGAAGGGGTAGAACAAAATGATGCAGAAGCAACGGAGCTAGTAAAGAATACAGGAACAAAAGAAGTAACACCGGAAACATGCCAAAAATGATAATTGCATATCGATCGATCTGTATAAAGAGATTTGGAACTGCATTAACAAGGCAACTAGTCCGCGACTGCCGCGTGCGGCGAATCGATTTCACAAAACTGATTCAACTGCTCGTCTCCCTGACTAAAGTACCCTCGAAAAGATACACGTGCAGGCACTCTACCGAAACCTTGTATAATATTCCCTTCTTCAGAAGAAGCTTGATCATATGGGAAACAAATTCTCAGAAGTAATGCATAAATTATACTTCTAAAACATCGAGTAGCGACAACAGTTTATAAAATATGTGAAGCTAAATGTTCAAGGCAAACAGTTTTCAACCAATTCTTCTCGAACGGAGCGTCACATGGATGAGCTCTCATTTCTTACTTCAGAGGGTACGAATTGCTCAGAAGCCGTCCATGCTAAGTACTCCGAGAAAATACTAACAGTTTGATGTGTAATTATTGCGGATCTTTATGATTATTGCGGATCTTTTCACGACTTCTTTCCTCTCAATGCAAACTGAATATGAATTCGGGATTCAATATTCAATTTTGCTTTCCTTTACTGAAATATGTCTAGAAAGTCATCTTCATGTAAGCCACATTATGCTCTATTGCTTCGAGAAAGGTTGGAAGGTGGCACAGTCATAAAGTGATCTTAACGAACTACNAGCTTGGAGTTATAAACCAACATGTTCTTCGATGGAGCTATCGTGGCGTTGGTTTTCTCAAACTTTTTCTTGACTTCCTTTTCCTTTTCTTCCTGTTCTATTACAGCAAATAAGCTATCCGACAGTGTGAGCCCAGCTGACGAGGTATATTACTCAAGAGCTCAGCTCTTTTACTGATTCCCTTTAGATGAGATGTTTTGTGAAGAGTTATCCCACGCCAAATTTCCCAAGCTACTATATTATCGACCACTATGCAGATCAAAGCAATCCTCGATGGACCAGAGTCAACTAATTCATTCTTTTTCATCTCCGTTTATATTCGAAGAAACAAAATGTCAACAGAAATATGTGTTACGACTGCTCCATTCAAAAAAAGCTTCTCTATGCTTTATCAATGGAAAATCCTTCTGTAAATACTTTCGTGCTTCAGTGCCTTTGTTGGCAAAAAGTTTTTGAAGGTTGGAGAAGAAACATCGTCCATAAATTGCACCTCAATTCATACTTCAGACAATCTCTATGTTTCATCAGCTAATGGATCGTTTTTGTTTAAACCTTCTTCGAAATTAACAGATTTATTAATTAATCTGAACTCAATTGCAGAGGTTGCACACTACCGGACAACTGGCCTTCTTGATACGATCCGGGAAATTCATTTTGCAAAATCCTTCGCGAGCGAGAGACTCGCAGCTGAAAAATTTTCTCACTATTTCTTGAGAAACGAAATGAGATTACTTGGAACAACATCTTACTTTTGCTTGTCCACACACTTCGGAGCTTCTTTAGTAGCGGTGGCCTCTGATGATTCAGTAGGTGTCACCTCATCAGAAGGCTCATCATTCGTTTTATCGGAAGACTCAGTCATTTCATCGTCTGCTTCTTCGAAAACGTCACTGTCTGCTTCATCGAAAATCAATGACTTAATGGGATGATCAATGGGATAAGTGAATATGGTTGTAGGAATTGATGAGGGGATCTGATCGAGTACTGAAAGAAGAATGTCCCTAGACATATCAGCAACAAACGTTCCTAGATGCGAGGAGGGCAGGAAGTGAAGTTGTGTGCATGATGACTCGTCCGGTAGGCCTTTTATACACAACTGATCGCAGTTTTTCTGTACTGTAACCACTATTGCACTGCTCAAAAAATACAGAAGGACAGTGTTGCGTAATGAAAAAGTGACGATGACTGTCATCCAACCTTTCTTTTTTTTTGATTGAATCACACAATACAGAATGCTGTAGGAAGTG